TTGTCATGACATCTTCTGCTGACATGATAAAGATTCTCCCCTCATTACAGCTACCAACAGCCTGTAACAGCCTTTATTGATTTACTTAAGAGATGCACCAATCTATAAGTTGGCAACAAGTATCTGAGTTGGTTTTCACCTTGATGAGTCTCTCATATCCAGTTGTGGGCCTGTCAAATTTACACACATGCTGCGTCACACGATGGTTCACTTCATGCGCACAGCGGCATTATCCACGGTTATCCACTGTTTGGCTGTAAGTGTTGCCCATAAAGAAGAGTTTAAACCACAATTAACCATCAGGTTTCTTCAACTAACTCACTCAGGAGCAAAAATCAACCTTTAAACTTGAAAGAAATAACAGTTTGATACTTACCGTGATAATTATCAATATCGAAAGATATTAAACTTTTTATTGTGATAACATTTTTGGCCAGATCGTCCAGCCCTAGATCACCATGAGTGAAGAAGACCCAAAGCAAGCACTTTGTAGTACCTGTAAGGCCAAGTATATTTGGAGACCCATTTTAGCAAACTGTAGAGATTACATTAGAAGATGTGGACACGGTGGATGTTTTCAAGCATGGACCAGGTAAAGCAACAGTGAACACTTGTTGAATAACAGCAAATGCTTGTGCCGGTGCTAATGGGGATCCAAAGAAATAAAGCAAGCAAGACATTTCCATTAAAGAAAAGTTACAAAAATGTTTGCGTAATCTTTAAATTATAGAAGGAACTGCAGTTCCTGGTGAGTTGTGAGATCAATCAGAGGCTGAGCTGTCACGTAAACACACATCCAGACATGGCCGGTACATGCTAGCTTACAGCTAATGTCTGTCAGTCTGTAAATTAGCTGTTTTGTGTAAAAAAAAAAAGATGGAATGCAGAATAGTTCAAGGGTCAAATTCAAGGGGAAAAAAGCGTGGTAAAAATTCATAACCGATACATGCACATCTTTTAAACCATGCTGAATCCTACACTACATAATAACACTTTCCTCAAAGTGAAACTATGCCATTTTCCTTAAACTCTTTCAGGTCTTAAAATCATTTGCATTTACTTAATTAAAATGTTTTACTGTCCATGGAAATTAGTGTAACATCTTCTAAAAATACATGTTGTTCTTATCATTGATTTCAGAAGAGCCACTGCATCTAATAACCTTCTAGCTATCATGCAAATTACTTTGCTGTTAAACTATCTTTCCCCTCTATCTCTCATTTGCATACCATTAAATGGAAACTAGGCTCATATTATACACAATGTACACTCACCAAGTGTTAATACACTAAAGTCTTTTACACGGATGTGTGTAAAATGTTTATGCTAATGTGGTGTCTCCTGATCATAGACTAGTATAGAAGCGGCGTGTTGATGAAGAGATGCTGCCTTTAGTGTTCATTGAAGCATGGAAGTATCCCCCCCCCTTACACACATCAAGAAACACACATTCATGCATGCACACCATCTCCTTTATTTTGCCTTGGCCCTCCTGGGACTGGAAGTGATGATGATCTGCAGTAATTGAGGAAGACGTATGTTGAATGCAGGAGGAGGTACTGGAGAGCGGAGGAAAGTGTAAACTGCTGATGCAGATTTTGTACCAAAACGCCTCTTGGTACCTATAATTGACAGTCACTCAGTCTCCCAAGGGTTAATGGACATGAAAATCTATACATTGTAGCACACGATGCCTTTTTTTCCTCACTCTGCCCCCAGCAACTGAAGATAGAAAAACATTGCAGGAATAATTATAAAAGTAATCTCTGCCGAGTTTATAAAGAATACTCAGGCTTAATAGCTTTTGTGTAAAATTAAGGGCAGTGACAACTCCATGAAAAAGCTAAAATACTTGACATAAGTAAAACGGCTGTAAAAGTGTATTTACCATTTTTATTTTGTGTGTGTGTTGGTGCATATGTAGATGTGTATGTGAGTGTGTGTGATAGCCCACTCAGGGGACTGTGTTTTATATGCTAATTTTGTTAATGTGTATAAGCTGCTCCAGCCCATTCTCATTAGGTTTTCATTAGTCTCTTTTATGGAAATGCACAGTGACTATACTGCAGAGCATTGCCTGCACCAGCCTTGCTACCTAACAGTACACAGATCTGTTAGCACCTCGGCCCATCTGTGTCACTGAGCCCATAGACAGACAGATCGATAAGTGGAAAAGGCATCAAAAAAGTTGGTTATTCAGTTTGGTGTTGAGATTCAATCTTCTTTTTCTTAACACAACTGAATAGATAAAGTAATGTGAGATAAAAGACAAAGTAAGGCAGCTCAACCAACTTGTCAACAGATGCACAAGAACCTTTTGTGATGCAGAGCAGTAGAACAGCGTCAGCCTTTAAAGAATACTCCGATACTTTGAAAATGGCACTTAATTTCTTTTCTAGTTTAATTTCTAGTCTAGAAAAGTCCAATGACTGCAGGCAGCATCTCAGAAGTTCTGTACTTGTGGGGATGAATGATGCCTTTCCATGTTTTGTTTTTGTAACTCTGAACCAACCCTTGTATTAGTGGTTAACTTGTTCGCTAACACATCGTAACTAGGACAGTTTTGAAGTTGCAATCTCTGTTTTGAACCCCACAAAATTAACCTTCCTCCTTCTACAATCTGAACTGGAGTCCAAAATGTCCAATAAAATAAATAAAACTTAAGTCACAAACTTCTCCAGTTGGTTATTGATTGTGTTTTGATACAGTCTGAATTTGGTGACAGTGGGGGATATTACATTTGAGCACTGTGTTTTCTTGATAAACAGATCAACGCTGACTGGCCTGAAGGATGCATGTACTGGATATATCATTAACACCTTTTTGTTACACCATATAGTAGGTGAACCAACATGTACATTTCCAGCTGTCTGTCTGATTGTCTAAAATTGAGCCCTGTTAAAGCCCAAAACTGCTACATATGACACACTGCACATGATTACCTGGATCAGATATGTTCATTGATTGTTATTGTTGATTTTTCATGTAGAGGTTGAAGTTAGTTGCTTCTGTGTTTTTGGTAATTAACATTGCAGATGTATAAAATAGGGGTGTGTGGTACGTGCTGCTGGGAAGACATGGAAAACATCAGGACGGGCAGTAATTCTGGACTATTGTTGATGGTAAAAGTAAGCTGTGACTTTGCTTTCAGGCATCGCTCGCTCTCTCATATCCTTTTTCCTTCAAGTGAAGCAGTGTCCCGTGAAATTGGGATCTAAATTATGAGGCCAGTGTGCTTTGTCTGAGGGTTTTAAAAATGTCCCGCTCTGCCACTAAGGACATCGGCTGGACAACAACAGTCAGCAGCAGACGACCCGCGGTCCTGACTTTGTTTCGAGACCAGTCCACTGTCGATAAACGGAGAGAATGTTTCCCTTTATCGCCTCGCGGAGGATGAGTCTGTTATATCAGCTTCATCGCTGTCATCATTATCAGCTCAGGTCCATGACAGAGATGGTGACGATTTTGGAGTTAGGGTTATAAATCAGGGCTGCTTTCCCTTTTTGTCTACTACTTGCTCTCCTCTCCTTTCTCCAGTAAAAGGTTGTCTTTATTTGAATAATAAGGCTCTTATCTCAGTGAATTACTATTCAGTTGGCCACAACGTTCACTCTGTCTCACTCTTACTCTCTCTGGAGCCACTTTCTCTTCATCATTCAAAAAAAGAACACACACACGTCCCCTCTTTATCTTCTGCCCTGGCCCTCACCTCTCCTTGTCCCTTTCCCCTCCACTATAGAGAAAGTAGCGGTATTCTTAAACATAAATGAGGCCATTTTGTTTTCTTATTTTTTTTTACGTCCTACTGTCACACTACAAATGTCATAAATTCTTTCACAGTAGAGCTGCTTACAACTAACTTGCATTAGTCCAGCTCTCCAATACAGTGGTAGCAATCCCAGAACTTACCTGAAGTTAAAATTTAAACTTTCCTGAAATTAAAGTACACCACAATGCACCAGTGATGCTCTCTGTTATCATGTTGATTGCTTGCTCTGTAATGAGACATTTAGATTAAAAATTGTAATTGAAAATTGGCACAAAAAAAGGCCAGGCCTTTGTCGGGCCCTAAAAATGGGCAGTCTGTTGACAAAAACATTCTTGATTGTATTATTACTTCAGTATGAACAAACCAGTTAATAAATGCTTTTTTAAGTCTGTTTTATCATTCTGAATACCTTACACATCAGTCCTTTTGCTTGTTACTTTGATTTATTATGACTTATGACATTGTTATTATAAGTTATAATAACATTGTACTCGTGCCATTGTACTTGAAATGTGGTGGCATCGCTAGAGGTAAATCAAACAAGACTGCAAACCTTGCAGTCAGAAGATCTTGATAGTTTAAACAAGCCAAAAGATTTGTTACAGCATTGAAAGGACTGATGTGCGTCATCAGTTACAGTAAAATGTCCATTTACTGATTTTGACCCACCTCCTTGACCCAGATGGAGATATTTACCTTCTTATATGATTGGACCCGCCCAAATGTTGTGCACACAAATACCATACTGAAGGGGCCAGCGTTGCAGCTCAGGCTTATCTGATTGGTTGATTTGCGGGATGGAGGGGTAGCAGGTAGAAAAAAGCCATTTGTCAGCAGTATCTGCCACTCAGGTCGAAGCCAACATGATGTGGACAAAACTCAATTTCAGCATTAATGGAATAATAACACTGTTAATGTGCCGTCCACTGGAGCAGAACACGAGGTCAGCCCAGGGTCAAACCTTTGGAAGCTGGGTGGCAGACCATGTGGGCACATCACTCAATTCACAGTCACAGAGCTAATTCAGATTTCCACCATAGTGATAAAAAATAAAAATAAATAATTGAATTGTCCAGCAGTTCTGCAGTCTTCTCTTCTCATGCAATTATTACCTGCCTTTAAGTGTCAAATATACCAGGTGATGATGTATAAACTGCTGCTTTTGCCCTTTTTTCAGTAAAGGTGTTTCAGAAGATACCAGGGTAATAATGTTTATGTCCTCTCTTTTCAGGGTTACTTCTTGCTGTTTGAGTCAATGTTGGACTCCGTCCTGTATGCCAGAGAACACTACCTGGCTGACACTGGTTCAGGTAGGTTGAATATTCTCCTAAAATCAAAATGAAGGTAGCATAAAGGATTGTTACATCAGATTTTATGTGTTGGCGATTCTCTGAAGTAGCTTTAGGCTATGCTTTTTAAAAGCTCTCAAGTATACCACATATGCCACTTAAAAACCTTGCAGAAAATTATTATGCATTTTGTGAATTTATGCTTAATTTCAAGAGTGATAAAACTCTTTGTTCTGCATATACTGTGCATAGGGAAGTTGGGGGGGGGGGGAGTGTCAGGGGGCGTTGCTCTGCTTTGTTAACCCTATAGTGACTGAGACAGCCAAAGCCACCGTCCACCGCATTCAACATAGGTTGGACTACCTCGGGTGCACTCCAGAACCCACTTGTGCTGACCTGATTCAAAGGCGCAGCGCTGCAAGTAAACAACATATCACATTTACAGCATATATACAATAGCTTAAACTGGAAAAGGAACTGTACTCTGTCAAAACTAAACAGCTGTGAAAAGACTAAAGTTTGCCAAAGCATTTCCGTTACCTGCTGCTGTTTAATTATCAGCTGATAGAGATTCAACATCAGACTTGCTACCTTATACGCCACCTACTCTCCACTGAAGCGAGTTTCCCATACTTGCTACTATGTTAGAAGCAGTAGGCTTATTTTCAGACAGCATGGCCCTTGACAGTGTTTGGTATGATCAAATGTGGTGGGTCAGCTTTTCAGCAGCAGATACATTTCCAAGGTAGGAAAGGTATAGAACAATAGTTTTAAAACCCTGAAAATGGTATTTAGAGTTTTTTGTGTGTCTTATTACTCAGTATAGGCAGTTTCCCCTGCCAAAGTTGGATTGGGGCAGTGCAGTGTGATCCTGAGGTCAGATTTACTCTAAATGTCATCTGTCAGCAGGGAGAAAACTGTTCACGCCAGCCCCCTGTGGTTATTACAAAGAACACGTGGGAATGCAGTGATTTTTCTGTATTTCTCACTGGGTCTGACACATTGTACACATGTCAATACAAGCAGAAAACATCCCCCTCATAAATTTCTGTATGAGGGGGAATGGAAGATTTTACTCTCAAACATAAAAATGTATTTTTTGCATGAATGTCTTTGAGTTGGGTCTTGCAATACAGTTTGAATGTAGAAATTGTTCAGCTTTCGATGTGCAAAGACCATTTTCTTTAGGCAAAAGCCTGTGTGTGCGTGTGTGTGTGTGTGTGTGTGTGTGTGTGTGTGTGTGTGTCTCCTGGGTCATCCCATCTCTGCCACTGACCAGATTTAATGGCTTGTGCCAAATGTCACCCAACTAAGGAACTGTTCCACAACACTGCCTTTACTGGCTCTTTGGGACATGAGGGAGAGGTCACAGTCACACACATGCATATGTGCATGCACGCGCACACACACACACACACACACACACACACACACACACACACACACACACATACATTGATGGACAGCCAGAATGAATATATAGACTGATCTGCTAGTGAGGGAGATTGGACAGGCGACGGTGTGACCAGAGTGAGTGAGAGTGTGACAGGTCAGAGGACACCGTATGGTTCGTCATGAGCCTTTAACCCTGATGCTCCCAACACGGGCTGGTCTCGCTGGATCTACTGTCAGCAGCACGACAGGAAGTGAAATGACAAAATACACAAAATAATCTGGAAAAAAGTATTTAAAAAAAAGTTTTTATATGTATTATTATCAGTTAATGACACGCCTCCAAGGTAGCAGTCTCATTGTATTAACTATGATCAGCTGTTCCTAGAAGAGTTCCTTCCTGTTTAAATAGTAAAGTAACTTGAAATTTGATGACTGTAGGCTCAACATAGTATAGTGTATAGTTATAAATTCTCCTAATTTATAGATGCATAATGTTTTTATTGTGGTTACGTGCATGTTACCGTACTACAACCAAATGACTTTATTTACAGATATTTAGAAGCAGGACAGTCATCTTTTCCACGTTATTTCTGACACAATAGTGGCAGCATGATTTTCCTCTCTGCTCCTGCTCCTTTGTTGAAGGAATAACATTGATGCGCATTTTGATTAGAAAATAATAAAAATAGCTTCTAAACTTGAGGGCGTTAAGCGTATGGCTGAAAGAACTGTCACCAAATCTCTGTAACGATAAATCACGTCACATTCATATCAATAATGATAAATCTAAATGTTTAATACAGCAGCGTACAATATTTCTTTTCTCTTGTTGGCTCACTTCTGCCTGTCAGACCAGTTAAAGATTCTGAACTTCTGGACTGGACTGCGAACTGATTGGTTTCAGGTCATTGGTTGTTGCAGCTGTTCTCTTTAAAATTATATGACATTCTTTCCTCGAAAATCATAAAGTTAGGTCTGTAAGAGTCATGAGTCATTATCTCATTAATTTGATGAATTCCGTATTTACAGTCCCCTCCAAAAGTATTGGAACAGTAAGGCAAATTCCTTTGTTTTTGTTGTTCACTGAACACATTTGGGTTTAAGATCAAAAGATGAGTATGAGGCAAAAGTTCAGAGTTTCAGCTTTTATTTCGTGGTAACTTTTTGTCTTCAACAACAAAAACAAAGGAATTTGCCTTACCATTCCAATACTTTTGGAAGGGACTGTATATCCCATTCCAAATTCAGCAAGCAAAGTGCCAGGCACAGAAAAGAGGTTAGTTGCCTGTGTCAATGCTATGAATGGATGATCCTACATGGTGTTATTTTTGTTCAGAGGTAAGCATGCCCGAGGCAGTATTTATGTGCAGATCTGCAAAGCAAATATTCCTGCACAGCCAGATTACTTTGCAATGACCAAACCAAAGGTACATAGACATACCATAACTTTTTCATTTATTGATTGTCGATCCAGCAGCTGGTTGTTGTGTCACGTTAGGTTTATCAACTTCTGTTCTTAAGTTTATTTTCAGATTTTGAGGGTGTGCGCACAGCTGTGCAGAGTTATTAGTATGGCCCTGCAGCACTGCTGCTGTATGTGTGTTTAAGCTACATTAGTAGAGTGTTACAGCAGCTCCCTCATTCTCCCCACTACATTAACCTCCCCTTCATCCTTAAATGTGTCCCTGCCTGCCTGGCACAGCACAATGTCCAGGGAAAAGGGATCTGTTTTGTCCCATGCCCCCTCCCGCGAGTCTTTCCCTGCTTCACCATCCAACCAATGGGGGAGACAGAGAGAGCAAGAGAAGAAGATGGGGGGGGGGGGGGGTCTGCATGACAAACGGGCTGTGAGCAGCGATTCGAGAAGGACGCAGATGTCAAAGCCATGAATCTGGGGACGCCCGTGCAAACCCCCCTTCTTCCTCTTCATCTTTTTCCCTCTCCATCCACACCACAGCACCCCCTCCCTTTCGCCTTTTCGTCTCCCTGTCTCCATTTCTTTTTCAGTGGGATTCTCAGACAGGCCTGTCCTGATTTTACCCAATCAGCAGCTCTCCCCCCTTCTCTCACCTTGCCCTCATAATTACTCACTCGGTTCAGTAATCAAGTAAAATGAAGTGACAAATCTGCTTTTTGCGTGTTTATGTGTGTGTAAATATGCGGGTGCACGGTCATTAGGTATGGTGACACTCACAGGGTCAGATGCAGGCTTCAGCTAATAATGGGAGGCCATGAGTTGCCCATCACTGAGCTGTCACCATCCATTCACACATTTTATGGTCCAATGTGTCGAAGGTTATGTGAGATTGAGCACTAACACATGCCATGCAAGATAAATAAAATCTGCTCATTGGAAGGCTTGTATTTTTAAAACTGTAAAACATGTCTTTAAAAAAACTTTTGTAGTTTGCTTTATGGAGAACAAAGGCTGGGACCAGGTTGGTATAAGCTGACTATGGTTTCTTGTCATATTCGTTAGCTAATTTATCAAACTTTCTTACCTCAGCTCAATCCAATATGAATTCAGGATCTCAACAAAAGAAACTAGTGTCTAAGAGCCATATTGACTGTATTGGCTTTCATGGACTCAGGATGTTGACTTGCTCTATGAATTTCTCAGTGGAAGTTATCATGATGCCACAGTCGTGTATATTTACCATAACCGTAAACTATCCAGATTTTTATTTCCAACTCTTGTTATGAACATCTTTAATTGGGACAGATTCTTTCATTACTAGTACTGGCAAGATGTATGTTACAATATTAGGTTTTATATGTCCTCATGAGTGTATTATAAACTGTAGTTTAGGCCCTAGGCCTCTGTGTTGGCTAATGTTACTTCACATTAGGGATACCAGTGGCTTCAAGCATTTTAGCTCCGACTTAATCACCAAGCATATTAACCATACAGAGGCATCTGAGCAGTGATTTTGTGTTTTCAGATGTTAAAAAGAGAGTGAAAAGACATTAAGGCTCAGGTTTAATGCTTATTTTAAGACATGGATAATGTTAATTCAAAAGACAGTATTATGTGATATTAAGAGCGACAATAATCACTGCCAATATGCAGTCTTCAAAACTTTGAAATATGAAACTACAAACAGTTTCCCAGTGACTGACATCTTCCTTCTTCTAAGAAAAAATGTTTATCTGAGGCTGCAGGTTAAGCTAAAAAAAACTTGTTTGACCAAAATACAGCCAGTGTTATTTTTAGCAATGCCAACAATTTAGCATTGCTTCCACCCCAAGAAATGCATCTGTGTTAGGCCAAGATCAATCACATCATTCTTTGTGAGTGTTTTTCCTCATTCTAGAAAGCATAGTTATCAGTGTTGCTGTTAAATACAAGAGAGAACTCGGGCAAGTGCATTCACATTATTACCGCTGCTCTGCTACTTTCGTCAGCATGCCTACCTGAAGTAATAAAGGGGATAATGGCCCAAAGGACGTTGGTGGATGCACTTGTCTTTGTGTGTGCTCAGAGAAGAAAATGAGGCTGCAATGTTTTTCCACTTCTGTTGCAGTGTAATTTGTGCAGCAGAGAAAGTTCAGTCATTGACCTTGGAGTGCCAGTGAAGTAGCTCAAATGTTCAGCTATTTAATTGCTCACAGTATTAAGGAAATTCACAACTGCCTGCCACAACAATGAGAACAAAGACTTCTCTGTGCTCACAGCCTCAGAAGGCAACTATCATATTTGTGATTTTTTTGGCCTAAAGTATTTGGACACACTTTACATATGCTTTTGTGTACTCTTGGTCTGGGGATGTTTTCTTGCATTTATATTTAAGACAATGGCAGCATGGCTTCAGCTACGTAGCAACAGTTTGGGAACGGCCTTTTATTTTTCCAGCATGACAAGACCGCCATCCACAAAGCCAGGTACATTAAGAAATGTTTTTTTGCAGTTTTGTGTGGGAGAATGTGATTGGTGTTAGCACATTTGTGAGATCTTGAACAATCACTTATGATAATGTTTTTGCCATCTAGTCTACAGAGTCCATCCATCCATCCATCGTCAGCCGCTTATCCAGTGTACAGGGTCGCGGGTAGTCTACAGAGTCTTAAGTATAAAGTATGAAAGTAGGACAATATGGTCATCAGGCCATGTTTTGTGCACATGTGATGGATACAGTCATTACAGCAGCCTCATGAAATTGATGCAAAGTCCCACACCCACAAGATGTTAAGGCGTTCTCTGATTAAATTTGTTGAATGATTTCAAGCAGTTAAATTTGTTGATATTAAGCATGTTTCATCACTGAGAGTAGAACATTATGGGATCAGAATTTGTCCAACCTTTCCTTTAGTTATGATTAATTATCTTTTCTTCAGAGCAAAATAAATCCCTGAAGGGGTTCAGTCATCATTGACCAGACAGCCTTATAATAGTTTAGCACACTGAAATGGCATTTTGAGATGGAGTGACCTCCAAAAATATGATCTGTTATACACTTGTTTCTTTTAGATCATTAGGAGGTTAAAGCAACGTTCAGGTTCCTTGACCTTGGTTATACAAAAGTTTGTAAAACAGATGCTTCTAAAACTAACAATATAAACAGTTTTTAACTAAATAAAAAAATAAGCATTCCAATGAGACTTGCCATGTAAAAGTGGTTGAAAAGACTAGAAAGGCGCTATCCAAATACGGAGCATTTACATTTACAATGGAACCCAAATGCAGACAGACTGTAGTCAGATGCAGAAATAGATAAGTCAACTTTGTACAACTCTTAAAGCTCAGGACTGAGCAGCATTAGAAGAGCTACTGTAGTATGTCACAGGTGGTCTCTCTGTATGCCTCCACATTCTCATTTGAGGTAATTTAATTGTGAAAGTAAGCATTTCCACTGCTTGCATTTCAAAGCAAACTGAAAAACAGTTTACGTAAGTAAATATATGTCATGCAACGTCAACTTACCAAGGTGATTGCAGTGCAGAGAAGGTTGTTACGTTAATATGGGACCAGATTGGTCCAGATCAACTGGAGAATAGGAAAACGGAAGCCAAATGAATCAAGTCAGATAGAACTTTATGTCACTTATTCCTTCCCTAGTGCCACTTATCATTTCCCCCTTCTCTGACCAGGATGGTCATTGGTATTGGAGATAAATGCCTTTTTTTGATTATTCTGTAGATGTCTGCTGGCAACCTTTGACCTCCAAGTCGATGCTGGGGCTGTATAGGGGCTCGAGACTTGAGTCTGACTTGTGAGTTGTAAAACAATGCCTGCAATAATGATATTTGTTGTGACTATGCCCTATATTTAGAGGCTACTGGTTGCTAATTGATCTATTGTTTCTAACGTGTACCCCGAAAAAAACGATGTCCAGTATTTTCCAAAAGTTTGCAGTTTTAAGGCGATTATTTCCTGCGTCCACTTACAATAAATAATACGTCATATAAAGTAGAATAAACAACATAATCCGAGCACAGTTAAAAACTGTTTGCTCCTCTTATTCAATTAACCACCTGTTTGCAACAATATAGGAACTTAAATTGCCTGAGGCCAGCATCGACAACACAACACAATGTCATGCCCCCTGTGGCTTGGAGGAAAACAGGCAGTATGGCTCCTACAATATTGTTGTATTTAACGTAATTTATGATCAGTCCTTTACTCATTTTGCTTCTCTCTTTCCTCTATAGTCTATCCAGACCTTTGTAACATTAGCCTGGCAGCCGTTGGAGACACAGAGAAGCACCAAGACCGCATCGCATTCTGGGATGATGTTTATGGCTTCAACATGGCGTGCATGAAGAAGGCGGTGGTGCCTGAGGCTGTGGTGGAAGTGGTGAAAGCAGACACCCTCATCTCTGAACCTACAGTCATACAGGTAAACAAAGAACCAGTAACAAGGTTTGTTTACAATAACTTATATGTAGAAAACCCCTGCGTCACATACATACAATATAATGACAACAACGTGTTGAATGTTTTCATTGTATTCAGATGTGTTTTATACCTGTTGGGCCAAAGAAAATAAGTGCTTGAACTTACCCAAAACTAGTCCGATTTGGACACTGGCAAAGCAACACAGTAAATAAAATAAACAGAGCAGAAATGTCTTCTACTATATATCTTTAAACATTATGGTTATGGCTCAAAATGACAACAGAAATAAAGAAATTTGCAGATTTTACATATCTCCGTAATTGAAATCAACTGCCAGTTGTTTACCTGAAAGTGACTGTTGTTAGCGCGACAGTGATTTGGTCGATAGGTTATGAACTGCAACATTCAACCTACAGGGTAGTGGATTTGGAGGTCCAACAATAATACTGATATTAGGAAGTAATTGCAAGTAGCCTGTAGTAAAATGGTCTGCTGACAACTGAGTTTTTACTCTTTGATTCTTGTGAAATGCTATATAGTGTCCCATCATCAGGTCTCTAAAAAGTGTTCAAATCAAACAACCTCACAAGGTTTAATCACTCCTATTGAACTGCTTACAAATCATAGACATGCATTGTGCACCGAGGGATCCAGCCTTCCTTTAAAGGGTGATTTTGATAGTGCACAGTTCACCTGGGTTTGCATAGCAGTTGTTGCTCAATGATGAAATACAGATGGCATCAGCCATTATGAGAAACAAAATATAAAAAACAAGTATCAAATGTTTGTGCCAGAAGTTGCACTGAGACTAAACCTTGTTGTCAAGTTGTCGTCTGTGGAAGACATCAATATCTGATATTTAACAATTGGCAAACCAATATGTCAGTCTGATCGTAATGTGCAAGGATCTTGGAAGGTACAAGCAGAAGAAATAGAGTTTGCAAGGCCCAAGCTGTTGGCTATAGACAGAGAAGGCAGGAGCAGGAGTTAGCTGTGGAGAGAGAGATAGGGCCCTGAAAATCTAGGCTGTGTGTGTGTGTGTATGTGTGTGTGCGCTCCAATGCTGTAGAGCATGGTGATTGATGTGTCTAATCCTTGTTTAAGTTCCTCTTAAGGAAACTTCATTACTCTCAGCCCCCTGTGGATAGAGCAGTTTTCACTGATGGGACAGCACACACATTACACAGAGATAAAACACACACAGTTCGACATCTAAGAGTGCAGATACCTCTTCTGAATCTTTCTCTGCGGGAATGCTCTTACTCTTGTCTCTCATACCATCATATGTTTCTTTGCTAGTTGGCCTGTTTGCTAAGTAGCTTGTCCTCCACCCGTCTGTGGATGTGATGAATGAGGGTAGAACTTGATATAATGGAATTTGAATCCTCTAATCGATAGTTTCTCCCCTCCAGTGACAAATAGACAGCCCCTCTGCCCAAATTACATGGACTCTCATCTATTGCCTCCCGTTGATACGATCCAATAACATTCCATTAAGGCTGGCTGCTATTCCGTAAAATTGAGAGCCCTTTCATGGAATTATAAATTCCAGCAGAACAGATTAGTTTTTTTCTGAATGAGGAACAGATAGGAATGTTCAGCTTCAGGAATGTTTAACTTGCAGCCATTTTAAGCTGCTTTAAAGCTGCCTTCATGTAATGTCTTTCATTTTCACATTCATAATTAGTAAACAGTTCGGGATGTACATGTAAACCTGGGATTATATATATTTATTGTGTCGAAGCGGTTGTTGTGTTGATGTCAGCTGGCTTTTTTCATCTGTCTCTTCAATTCTGTATGTATTCTGTACCAGAAGTAGGTTTCAGTTTTATTGTCCTGTGTTGGCACAGTTCTATGACATCTTTACATCCACTATTTTGTCAGATTTGTGACGAAGCAAATATTGACAAGCTTCTTTTATCGGCTCCAGCTCTGTTGTGCATTGATGGAAACATTCCTTCACCTGCATGACTTTGTATACACTGCGGGTACAGAGTGAGAGTGAGATTTGCTCTGGGAAATAAGTTTTAAAAACACACATTGACCGACCGAAGAGGCTCCGACACTGACAGGAGCACTAAACCACGGATACAAAGAGACGCCAGTCTGCACAGCAGTCAGCTGCTCACTCTTCCCCACTCTGTAGGCTGTTGTAGTCCAGCCAAAAATATAAAATGAAAGGATTCACGATGTCAAATGTGACCCATAAGAAAAAAACAGAAAGGCAAACTAGTCTAACTGCAATAGAAAAGGAGTTAATCACCTATTTTTCCAGTTTACCACAAACCCCCATATACATGCTAACTGTGGTATAAAAAGTGTTGTAGTGAATGTTTTCTAGATTGACTATAGTGTTGTAGCTAAAGGACTTAATGTTGACCTTTCTCTGGTGATACTTTGTTTTCATCCTGGCATGGAGCACAGTGTAACACATTTTGTCTATATACGAATCCAGTGTCCTTGATACTGTGCTTGGTCTTTTTTACAACACTTTTGGTCCAGTTAATGTTTATGGAATCTCATCGTTGTCTGATTTGTAATCACTGTCATTGATAGGGGTGGGAATCTCAGAAACATCTCTTCATTAGCTTAAAAGGACTAGTTTGTGTCCCTCATTTGCATTGCAAACATCTCCTCTGTGGTCAATATTCTTTTCTCTGCATTGCTTTTATAACTGCTCCTTTGAAAAATGAAGAGAGGAAACTAGCCAAGCGTTGAATGTTACCATGCTTGCACAGTGTACTAGTGAACATCTCTAGTTGCGCATTTATATTAATGATCATGTGAAATTTTAGTAGCTGCTCTCCTTCTTTCAGCAGCGACAATGTGCCGAATATAGGGGGTACACTGGTCTCTGTAATGTGCACTCCACAGACTTATGTTATCAATTAACATTGAGAAAATCGTTTTTTCACTTCTGTGAATAGATTCAGAATCATCTACGTCTGCATCGCGATGCAGCTTAGAATCGATCCTCCCACCCCTACTTATTGAATATGTGGTCTAATACTGTTTTCACAGTTTAACAATGGGTTCCACGAAAAACTCCAAAGGCTGTCAGATGTCTGCTGTCAACTTTTGTTATAAACGTGTCTTGCTCGCTGCATAGTTGTGCACCTACTTACATAGTAACGGCAGAAGATCATGTGATTTTGTCATTTTTATGGTAAACCGTACCTGAATCAGCCTTTTAGTAACCTGGGGTGTTTCCTATTGGCTGTAAGCTGACTTCACAAACAAGTCGAGAAAGACCTTCAGCAGGTTAAGAATGGTATCTTGTTTACCACGTTTAGATTTCTGCAAGTAAACTCCCAACCAGGTGTCGTTTTGAAGCTCTAGTAAGCAGTTTTATCAGTTATGAGAACAATGTTCTTTGTACCAAGTCAATTGCTGAGATTTTGGAACATGGTCATAATACTTAAAACAACATTCAGACAGTGATACAGTTTAGGAACAAATGACCAGGTAAGCCGAACTTGTTTGGAAGAGGAAACAAAGGTCTACTCAACTTTGACCTATTTTAATTTAATTTTGCTCACTCAAGGTTTTCCTCGGCATTGAGAACGCAGAAAACAAAACCCAAGTTGTAATAAACCACAGTTTCCTTTAAGACAGAGAAAATACAGCTGTGGAAGCCTGAAAGGAAATACTGTTATGTTGTTGTTATAGACTGAAAAAAATTACTTTTTCACATCTGAACGGTAGGCTAATTGTAAAATTCATATGCATGCAAAAAAGGTGAGAACTAGCACAGCAGATCCTGTCGCCTCGGTGAGGCAGTAAGTTCAAATGCTCCAGTCAAAACAAAGAGATTGCTTCTATACCAACTGCATGTGTATTCTTATTGTTTCATTTTTTGTATTGCTTGATCACAGTTCATATTGTCATCAGTATTTATAGTTGTACATCATTTGATTTCTGTGTTTTTGACTTTCAACAGACAATTGACTGTAACATAGTGTGTCTGTCTGAGTTGGAGTTTGCATCAGACTTCTGCTTGAAGATAACAAACACCACCGAGTGCACGGTAAGTACACACACCACCCGCTCGCACACTGAGACATCCAGAGTTTCAACTATGCAAACATTTGTAAAGTTGAGAAAGTTCAAGTTTGAGTCTCAAAATTATCTTCTATTTCAAATAAAATTCGTATTGCGTCTAATTGCTTGCAGTGCCATTTTTTATGTTGCTGAGATTTAAAATGCAAAAAATATAATGCATTTTGAAGAACAACTTGCTAATATGTACAAAATAAGTTTCCCAGGAGAGTTTTTTTTTTAAACATGAATTTCCTAAACAAAAGTTTGCACATCGGCTTTTAGTACCTGTCATTTATCAGAGATATTGTGGTAAAGGAATGAGGCAGAGCAGCAGAGACATCATTCTGCTCATGTTGATGGATTATGTTTCTGTATTTAAGAGGATGTCTCGAATCAAAGCAATGTGACTTTGGAATTACATGTCATACAACATAGTGAATGTTATAGTCTGCTTGCCCTGTCATTCTTTCAAATGCCAATACACACTCACGTACACAATCAAAACCCATCTCTCACATTGGAGCCTTAAATAGTTGCAGTGTGTTAAAACTATGTTCGCCTTGCCCGGAAAATCATATTTCCACTGGACACACGCTGAAAAGTCATTAATCCTTATGTTTCAGTTTTCGTCCACTGCTACATACTTTTCACAAATCAATGTACTCCAAACCAGGGGTTTTCAAAGTCTGAGACTGCGGGCCTCCCCTCAGACAAAGCTTGGGACGCTGACGGACATTGAATCAGTTAAAATCGATTTTTACTCAGCCTGGTAAGAATAAAGGAAACAAACTAATTACATCTCTTCTCATGAATTACCTGGTTTGGGCTGTCAAATTAATCATTTATGTGCACAAATTTATTATTCATTATTATATCATTAAAACAATATTTTACAACATTTTATCATACACTCACGGGCCACTTACCTCCATGCTTTCATGTTGTTTACACCAAATTCTGACCCTAACATCTGAATTTCGCAGCTGAAATCAAGACTCATCAGACCAGGCAACATTTTACAAATCTTGTCCCATTTTAGTGAGCCTGTGCGAATTGTAGCCTCAGTTTTCTGTTCTTAGCTAACAGGAGTGGCACCCGGTGTGGTCTTCTGCTGCTGTAGCCCATCTGCTTCAAGATTCGATGTGTTGTGTGTTCAGAGATGGTATTCTGCATACGTTGGTTGTAATGAGTGGTTATTTGAGTTACTGTTGCCTTTCTGTCATCTGGAACTAGTCTGCCGTTTCTCCTCTGACCTCTGACATCAACAAGGCATTTTTGTCCACACAACTGCCGCTCACTGGATATTTTCTCTTTTTCGGACCATTTTCTGTAAACCCTAGAGATGGTTGTGCATGAAAATCCCAGCAGTTTCTGAAATACTCAGACCAGCCCATCAGACATCAACCTGCCAAGCCACGTTCAAAGACACTTATATCCCCTTTCTTCCCCATTATGATGCTTGGTTTGAAATTACATGCCTAAATGCATTGATTAGTTGCATGTGATTGGCTGATTAGTTATTTGTGTTAACAAGCATTTGAACAGGTGTGGCCGGTGAGTGTATGTTTAAGGGATTTCAAAGATAATTCAGCCCCTGGCTTCACCCCCACCACATTCATGTATCTCTGTTAAAAATCAAACGCTATTAAACCAGTTGAGTTGTTTATTTTCATTACTAAATAAAAACTCAATTAATTAACCCGCTTTTTTATGAAAGACAAAAATAATCAGTCCTGTGTAATACATTACATAACTCATTTGAAACCTGACTGAACCTTTGAGTGTGTGTCCTCAATGAGGTTCAGCTTCAGGCACCAAAGCACAGAGAATGGTTTATGAGTCTATTTGGTGACCCCCAACCATCCCCACCCACCCCTGCTGAACTTCCTTCAGTGAGCTACAATTCTCTCTGTGGTACCAGCAGCGATCCGCCAACTACAGAACAGCGTCACTACTGCAGGCTCTGACGCTCCGCACTGTGAGAACTGATCTGTCTGTATAAAAGCCCATTGTGTTGGAGCAGCTTTGTGTTGTGCTGCAGTGTTACTGCACTGTCTGGGGCATTGGTTTAATGGATAATCAATAACTGGTTATTATCTGGCCTATGCTCCCTGGGTGAATTTAATGGGATTTGTAAACATCCTCTCATTTTTCCTGTCTTTTCTGCTCTGTAATTGAAAACATCCAGTTTCTATTTCTAGTATGTAGTTCCAGTCATGTTAGGGGTTTTCTGCAGCAAAACAGATGATGGGATCATATGGTACAGAGGTGTAATTTTAGGCTTTAAGGTGTACTACTGTTTTCCACTGCTGTTCTACACTTCTGGTCATCCTCAGTTGGCGTGAAGCAAAAGCAAATATCGTGTATAGGATTCATCATGCAGCCATGCTGTTACCCTTATTTTATCCAGGTGTATCTGGTTTTATTATGCATATTCTCTGTGAAGATGGTACACAGTGTAGATACTCGCCGCCTGCATCCCGCCTGCTTGTCCCAGGATTTACAGATGGATTATTGACCTGCTGGAGTAGGGTGATGTTACCAAAAAGATACTGATCTCTAGTCAGTATTGGCTGCAGCTCCTCACTAGTAGTTAAGGTTAGCCTGTGTGAAGGGTAAACCGCTCCTGGACCAGTGCTCGGGGATCGGTGAGCAAAAGCTGCTGTGCCTCCTGTCCTGTGATGGAGCGCCTGCTTTTGTTCTGCTCTCGACAGTCCATTCATCAGCGGAGCCTGCCTAACCTTGCATTAAATGAACAGCACAACCCTTGCGTCTGCGCCGTTGACGCACATGACAAATCCTCTCACTCTTGCTTTTTTTATCACTCCTTTCCTTGCCTCCTTTTTACATCTCACATGCTCTGCACAGTGTAGACATTGTGTCTGCCTTTGTAAACCGTGAAAACACATGCGGAATATATCTGTGCTGAAACTTTCATTAAAACTTAGATCAGAAATTCTCTTGGGCATCTATATCATTGCCTTTTTTTGTTTCAGCCCCTTCATCTCCATGATCCATTTACCTGAACTGTAGAGCAGGTAGCAAAAAATGCCCTCATCCCCTCCTAAAGGCTGGAAATGATATATGCTGATGGTGTAGCAGGAGAGAAAAAGTTTCTGTCTGTAATTAATTTTAACACTGCTGTCTCACTGCTGCTGATGTAGCTACTGTAGCGCTACAAAGAACAATCTCTCTGCAATCCATCTCTAACCTGCTTTCCATCAAATTTAAATTTTGTGTGGGGGGGGTGGGTTGGCCTTCTGGACTGACAGGGCGGCACTCGTCAACTTCAAGGACGGTTTTCAGCACATTAAGAAGAATTGTTAATGGAAAAATTCATTCTTTAACTTTCAAAAGTGTATCAGTAGTAAGGCAAGGCAAGTTTATTTGTGTAGCACATTAAATTAAACAGCAAAATTAAAAAAAGACATTGAAATACAATTTTTAAAAGGGTGAAATAGAAAATAAAAACAGGATAAAATAAATTTTAAAAGAGTTAAATAGAAAATACAAACAGGATTACACAGGACAGTAAAAGTTACAGTGCAGTGTAAGATACTAATCCTCATTATTGAATTTGATCTAATTAAAGGCAGTGGTAAAAACAAAAGTCTTCAGTCTCGATTTAACAGAATTGAGAGTTTGAGCAGACCTGCAGTTTTCTGAGAGTTTGTTCCAGATATAAGGAGCATAAAAACTGAACGCTGTCCATGGTTAGTTTTGATCCTGGGGACAGAAGGCAGACCTAAGACTTAACGATTAACTGTTTTGAAATCAAAATTGTGATTTGCAATACAGCGCATCTGATCCGTTTTAAACAGTTATGCAGTTGCAAATTAATTCCGTTGTCATCCTTGTGTGACAGATCTGCTCGCCAGTGACAAGCGCCATGCGCCTCCTTTTACGGTCCAATCAAAGCAGGCATGGGGTGTGTACATTTTACAACAACAAACAAAATTAGAGGGAAACGTGGGATAATGGCGTTAATTTATTATTTTGTGTGCCTCAACTACGGATATTGGCTCTCTGTGAACCCGTTCCGTTCCTCTCTCTGCAGGCTAACGTTACATTTCCACATGGAGCATTTCAGAATAAGAGCGTTTTGCCCCTCTGATTTTGCTGAATTATTCAGATATTACTTATTTGTTCAGTTGTGCTTGATTTGTGATTTGTGCCTACTAAGTAGGCTGCAAAAAATTTGGAAAACGACCGGATTCTCTGTGCTGTTCTGTGTCTGACTTCCTGCCTGGTTCATCTGCTTTGTGCTCCTTGACGTGACTTCAGTCAAAAATAGACTGGCAGAGAATATTGAACTTTAGCAAAACTTCAATAAAAAAATCCCAAATCAAATTGTAATCGCAAAATTTGGCAGAAAATTCGCAATTAGATTTTTTTCCCAAATCGTTCAGCCCTAGTCCTAATGAGGCTAAAATTCATTCTTCCTTGGCACCAAAAACAATGACTTCAGTTTTGTCTTTGTTGAATTGAAGAATATTCTGACACATCCAATTGTTGATTTGTTTAATACAGTTACCCCAGGTGATATATTATGTAAATCTGTGTGTCATCTGCATAATTATGGTAACATATTTTGTTTGTAGTTTTTCATAATCTGAGCCAGTGGAAGCATGTAAATGTTAAACAGAAGAATGAATCATTGGGGAACTCCACAGGTCTTTTGTTAGCTCTGCTGCGTGATTACCTATACAAAGTAGTTCCCGTCTTAGGACTTAGGATTGAAACCACTTTAGTACTGTGCCAGAAAGTCCCACCCAGTTTTCAAATCTGTCTAGTAATAGGTTGGGGTCGACCGTATTGAAAGATGATCCAATAATACTAAGACTAAATTCTGGCGCTGTCTGTGTTGAAATTCATTCATTCAAAATCATTGAAGACCTTAACAAGAGCCGTATCAATGCTGTTGTGTGGTTGAAATCCTGACTGGAAGACATCAAAACAGTTATTTAGTGCCAGAAAAGCTCTTGA